TTTACGCCATTCGAAAGAAAATTGAATTTTACATCTGATAGATATTTTTTGATTGATCAAAAATCCCAATGTCAGCTCTCAATAAAAAATATATGGGAGGAGGGAGTTCTAGGCTGTCATGTTTTTCCTCATAACTATTGAACGGCCCAAAGAATCGAAAAATTTGATGAGAGAAAAAATGAAGCTTGCAGTTTTTTCTATCGAACGATATATATAAAGTTGAAGATATATACAAAGAAGGCATCCAGTGGCGTACGAAAACATGCGCGATTGGTGGAATAATGTGTGAAAAATGATAAAAAATACCTACCTACCTACCGTTTGTGAGAGGAAAAAGTTGATTTACTCATCACACAGACTAATAATTATGTAGGATACTACTTGAATTCAAGAAGGAATGTGTAAAATCTGACAATAAAGGTACAACAATTTAAACATTTTTATTGTTATAAAAACAATCTAAAAGCATTAAAATTGACTCATCAACTCCGAAAACTACATGAAACAATCTGAAAACATAAAAATTAACTAATCAACTCTGAAAATTAAATAAAACAAATATGGAATCAGGTACTACAGCGCTAATGGCAGCATTCTTTACAGGTACATAATTGTGTATGTACATTTCAATTTCCTCAGGAATCATTCGCATTTATGATCACAAATTTTACATTGGCATTTAATCATTATATCTATTTCCAATCTTTCGTTCTTGATAGTTGTCCAGAGTGGTATCCATTTTTCTTCTTCCAATGTCCATCCCCATTGGGAGGGACGCGGTAATTCCAAATTAGCACTAGCTAAATTGGCCCAAATATGGCCTCCCTGATAAGTGCATCTTCTGGCGTGTAATGAAAGTGCATTGAATGTGGGTGGAAGATTTTAAATAGACCTATTTTTTTTGTAAATAAGTCCATTCGACAAACATCTAAGTTTTCCGCTTCTGAATGTTTATCGTACAAAAATATGACATACTTTTCTAATATATGTATCTGATTTTCATCAGGTTGTTTAGGGCGAAGTGTCAGCTCTATGAATACATCTGTTACGGCAGAAAAAACATACCATGCTTCCCAACATTTTCTTTTTCCTTTTCCTAAGAAGGCTGATGTTACATCGCACCCAGTGAAAGCGTGAAACATTGGCAGACCCAAGCATTTCTCTTTCAATTTATCAGAAATTTCTACGCAAGAAATGTACTTCATATTCTTTCCCGCACCAAACTCTATCCAAATATCCTGCTCTTGATGCTGATACTGATAGAAAATTGCGAGAATGATCACATCCACAGTTCTTATCAAGATTCTTTTTAAATTATTTTCCATACAATTTTGAGTATGAACAAAAATCCGAGTATCAGCTTCCTCATGGTTTGAAATACCAGTTATTTTATTGATTCCTAGGGATCCACTATTGTAAAGTGTTTCCTCAATTGTATTACATACTACTACTGTATTCTCGGGTAATGGCATGTCTTTGAGGTGGTTGGAAATTAAATCGAACAATTGTTTCTTATTTTCCGAGTCTCTCAAGAAGTCATTCCAATTTCGTGAAATGCTGGTGCTTTCTCTTACCAATTTCCTGGTCCCTTTTCCCCTCTTTTCTCTTGTACTTGCCTTCAAGCTCTTATCAATATAAATATCCCAGATTACATCAATCCTCTTAGAGCTATATAAAATTCTTAAAATATAAGGCTTTACAATAAGAGAGATATATTCCTGAAAAGTACAGCAAGCCTTGGGTTGTAGTATATGTACTAATGCGGCACCATCAATCAATACAGCATCAACATCAGTTGGTATACTCTCAACTGTTATGTATTTGTCTAAGCATCGTAATAAATCTGATTCCCTGCCATGGTACATTTGACCAAGTTGAGCGAGTTAGGGTGGATAAGGATGATTCTCAAATTTGAAAAAAAAAATTCAGGTCACCATCTCTATTCTGTGACACAACGTAAATTCTACTGAATAAAGTAACATCTGATTTCAATTCTTTCACTTTACTTGATTTATTCTGCTTATTTTTTTTATTCTTGAAGTGAATGTTATCAACCTATCATGGAAAAATTCTCTGCATTGATGAACGCCTTTATCTAATAACAGTCTCAAACATTCGTCATTCACGACAATTCTACTATCTAGAGCGAATAATTCAGTTGAGGTTTCCTGGAACGGATTACCATATGTTTTGAAGGTATATGATCCGAATGAAGATGGACATTGGAAGAAGAAAAATGGATACCACTCTGGACAACTATCAAGAACGAAAGATTGGAAACAGATAATATAATGATTAAATGCCAATGTAAAATTTGTGATCATAAATGCAAATGTTTCCTGAGGAAATTAAAATGTACACAATTATGTACCTGTAAGGAATGCTGCAATAAGCGCTGTAGTACATGATTTTATATTTGTTTTATTTTATTTTCAGATTTGGTGACTTAATTTTCATGTTCTCAGATTGTTTTATGTAGTTTTCGGAGTTGATGAGTCAATTTTAATGCTTTTAGATTGTTTTTATTACAATAAAAATGTTTAAATTGTTGTACCCTTATTGTTAGATTTTCCACATTCCTTATTGAATCCAAGTAGTATTCTACCTAATTATTTGTCTGTGTGATGAGTAAATCAACTTCTTCCTCTCACGTCATATAGTAAAATGTTTATTTCTCACGTTGCATGCACCAACGGTAGGTAGGTAGGTATTTTTTATCATTTTTCACACATTATTCTACCAAACGCGCATGTTTTCGTACGCCACTGGATGCCTTCTCTATATAAATATCTCCAACTTTATATATATCGTTCGATAGAAAAAACTGCAAGCTTCATTTTTTCTCTCATTAAATTTTTCGATTCTTTGAACAGTTTAATAGTTATGAGGAAAAACATGACAGCCTAGAACTTCCTCCTCCCATATATTTTTTATTGGGAGCTGACATTGAGATTTTTGATCAATCAAAAAATATCTATCAGATGTAAAATTCAATTTTCTTTCGAATGGCGTAAATCGCAAATCTCTATCTCTCACCGTTTTTGAGAAAATAATATTTATATGCAACTGTGCGCACCACCCCTTCGAGAAGGGGGTGGGGGTGTCTCCGCGGGTTTCAGGGGTGGGTCTGCCCCTGAATCTCTTTATTTCTACTCACTCTATGCCTGTTCAAAAGGATTTGCTTTTACTCAGAAGGGGAAGTATCGACCATCGTAGGACCTTAGCTAGTATGGTTTTGGTTGGAGACACTGATATTTGGTTCGAATTTCCCGAACAATCGATGTAGTTGCGAACCGTCAAATTGATGAAAAAGAGAGAGAGAGAGAGAGCGAGTGTTTTCCACTGAGATTGATTTCACGAGTCACGAGCTGATACTGATCATGTATCTCAACGTCCGTCAAATCGGCATCTTCTCGGTCGGCCGAACAAATGACCGAATTTTGACTATACGAGGGTGGATGAAGATGATGCAGAATGAGAGTATTCTTCCATTGACTATTTTCAGTGCGAATGAATTGATATTTCAACCCCAAATGAAAATTGATATTTCACGTGATTATGATAAACAAACCAAAAAAATAATAATAATGAAAAAAAAACAATATTTTTTTAACTTACACTCTAAATTAACGCAGGGCGTTAACAACAATAAAAAATCCCAGCCGATCAAGAGTTCACTAGGAGGGGACAACATCGTGGACACACACACACACACACCCTGATAATGCACATCAATGAAACATTGGTCAACATTTCGTCATTATCCTTTTCAATTCCACTTCATAATGGCAAAACGAACAGAGAGTGATGACGAGAATGTACGTGAACCTCCTTGTTGTATTTCGAGAATAGGGTTCAGAGAACATCAACATCAGAGGACATATTGGGTCTTTCGATATTTGGATCACTCTGTATTCATAATGAATTCTCTTTTTTTTTCGGTCAACATTCATCCTGATCAATGGTCATTGATCGTAGGCGATTGCATTCGCATTCTCTGAAGACCACCCTTCAAAAAGGCTACTGCATCATCTCTGTGCCCTTGAAACATACTTACCTTCAACCAATCTCAATAGCTCCCTACTGCATATCTGATCTTCATTTTGTGGTGAATCCATGGACGTTTATACGTCCATGGGTGAATACATATCACGAGATTCGTGTTGTTTCACCCTCTAGCGCCGAAACTGGTCATACGATCGAGTTGGCTCAATGGAGTCTTTTACTCAGAATGACTTCAGTTACAACATATCAAAAATTCAGCCATTTTCACCGAAAGACATTTTTCCATATAATGTGTGCGTGGCCCTTTCATAAACAAATGACGCCATATAAAAATGATACATAGATGAAAAGAAACGAGGCATAATTTGCTAACTCAGAGTATTTCACTTGAAGAAGTTACTGTTTTAGCGAATGTTGTCAAGAATTCATCGTCTATGAAGTTTTTTCACAATTACTATGGACTTTCATCAAGTAACGACCGAGTCAATTATAAAAAAGCTATAGAATTAATTGAGTCCCTCAAGTGAATACTGTATTCATATTTCACTTTGCAAAGAACCGTTTGAGACTAATGTTCACTCACTGTGTGAATATAGGACTAATTTGGAATAATTTCAATTATAATCAGTGGCGTGTTCAAAGGGAGGGGCAGAGGGGCCCGGGCCCCTCCAAATCAGGCTACACGAAAATTCCGAAATATCCAGTCTTCTTTGATATTTATAGAAATCCACCATTCAATAATTAATAAATGATGATTGTTTTTTGCTATACACGGTGTAGATATTTTATACACTGAAAAACTCGTTGAATCGTTAGTTGATACCTGAAGTGAAAACAGTTGAGAAGAAGAATATTATTCTCTTCGGTGGCGATCGTGTTTCCGTTTCCGTTCATATAATCGGTGGCGATCACGTAGCTGCCAAATGATCAGCGTTTACTGTTCAAAGTTTTCAGTTAGCTGTAGACTGTAGAGTCGCTGAGTTAGGTAGTAGTTGATGGCGGTGGTAACTTTGCATGAGTCATCTCGAGTCATATCAAAACAAGAACTGAGAGCTGAAATAATAATGTGGCAAAATAGATGGGAGAATGAACCAGATTTGCCCTCTACAGCAATCGAAGCACTTTGTTTTGGGGCGAGTTTGTTCCCTGCAATAAAGATTTTACTGCAAATATTTGTGGCTCTACCTGTATCAACGGCAACAGCGGAAAGGAGCTTCTCAACCATAAAGCGCTTGAAAACCCACTTAAGGTCAACCATGGGTGAAGAGCGTTTGAATGGTCTAACTTTACCTAATATTTACAAAGAAGTTGATTTGAATATTGAAAATGTAATGAATAGGTTCGCCACAAGCAAAGCCACACGAATGAGCCTCAAAGAATGGTCAGGTTGAAATAATATTGATATAAAAAAATTCATAAGTATGCTATTTTCCATGTTCGTTCATTGCTCAGCCAAATTAAAAAAAAAATGGTTGTTCTGGTGTCTCGTTTAATTTTATTCGTCAATGTATCTTGACAAATTTTGACAACATTTTTTATTTTTGCCTTGCCCCCAACCCCTCCCCTAAAGCGAGATTCTAAACACGCCACTGATTATACTGCCAGTTATACTGATTGTATTGAAGTATCATTTTCTCGAAAATATTTCCCTCTCGTTGTTTTTTTTATCGCATGGTGCGCACGAATCAGAATCCCTATAATGTTCGAAATACCTAGGGGCGATAGGGAGAGGAGGTAGGAATTTTGGAACTTTTGGAGATTTTAAGTACTTGGATATCCTTCCCTAGACATGGAATTCCAGAGCATTCCCGTTCTAAAGAGAAACAAGTTTTGATAGTGACATATTTCGAGGTTAACAACGGAAGGATGTGCTGACTGCACTTGTAGAGTTCATCTGGCTGGTATTGCTAGTCGTGGAATGATAGCAGAGATTTCTGAAGAACATTTCCTGTGGAAGTATCTATGAAAAAGTTGAGGTTCGCCGACCTTTTCACGGTGTTCCAATGATGTCAAAGTGTTAGTGAATTTGGCATCACCCACCAGGTGGATACGGCCCATCTATGGATGGAACCTAAGAGCATTAGAGTATGTTTGGGTGCTAAACCCCATATGTGAGGACAGTATTCTAGAACAGGTCGTATCTGTGCTTTGTAAATCATGAGGAGCTGTTGAGTTGTAAAGTAGCATTTCGCAAGGAATAAAAAAATTGTGAAGCAGCTTCCACGATGGATCTGACATGATAATCCCATCATGAAAGAGTATTATTGATGGAGACACCGAGCAAAGATATAGTTGACTTGGTGAGAATGTTGGTATCAGACATTGTTATATCAGGCATACTGAGTTTCGCCTTCCTAGAGGAAATACAGGCTTGAGTTTTCTCGGCGTTCAATTCAACTAGGTTGTTGGTTCCCCAGGCATGAGTTCTTAGTTTCCCGGGAAAAAATGGAAATTCTGGAAGAGAACGCAGTATGAAGGGTACAATCACTTGCAAAACCGTGGAAAGTGCAAGTGGTTGCTCCCAACAGATCATTGATATGAAGGAACAATGTTGATGGCCAAAATTGATTCTTGTGGAATGCCAGAATTGATGGCAATGGTATCAGACGATCTACAGTTCACCACTACGTGGAGTGATCTGTTGCAATGTTTTATGTTGAGTTTTTGAATCAGTCGATATACCGAGTGGTCCATTTGAGAATATTCACCCACGATATCTGTCAGAAGAATCATTTCACAAAAAAAAATCAAAATACGTCTATTTCTATCTAGAGGGGCACACCGTTTGACGCGGAATAAATAATCCATACTTCAACTCAAAATCAACCAACTCAATAATTTGAATATGGATTAAGGGTCGTGTTAAACAGCATTGCAAATGTAATTCAATTCTGACAATAGTAAATAGTAGTGCAAAGTGTTATTGAATCCAACAAGGCGTTTTCGAGATATCCGAGTTCAAATTGTATGTTCTTCAATTGTGAGTAATCGAATGTACGAAATGAATCATTGAATGGTTATTGACTACAAATGTTGGAAATTGTTATTGCATGGTATTCAACCCTCATTCTTTTTTCCTCATCGTTCAGATATCGATTACTTAATAACGTATTTCGAATGACTATAAAGACAAAAATCATTGGGTGCCATGTGAGGCGAGCGTGCTGGCCATTTTGTTGGTCCTCTATACGACCTATTGAATTTTTTGGGAAATATTGGGGTAGCCATTCTCTCGCCTGCCAACAGATTTCCATCATCATCATCATCATCATCATCGAGGTCTATGAAAGGATGATTATCCCAAAATTTCCCGAACAAATGGATGGGTCGTATTGGACCAACAGAATGGACAGCATGTTTGCCGGACTAAATGATTTGTCAGAATCAGAATCAGAATATTCTTTATTGTCAGAAGAAGAAGCTCTTGTAGACAAAGAGAAGATAAAACATAAGTACGTAACATACAATAATAAAAATTTAAAACAATGTAAAAGATAAAATATGGCATGAGAAGGATCATCATGTGGTATAACGATTCACATTTCTAAGACGAATACTAAAACACATCACTATAATATTCCTTCAATTCATAGTAAGCCTTTTCAGAAAATAGCTGTTTGAGACTCTTCCTGAATATTTTATGATCTTTAATGTCCTTTACGTAGGTAGGTAGGTGGTTATACATCTTCAGTCCATTATATATAACCGAGTCTTTGATCAGGGTAGTCGATGGTAAAGGTAATTTCAGATGATTTTGTTGCCGGGTTATATGTTCTGTTGTATTATTTTTTAATTTTGTTTTATTTTCATGAATGACGCTGACTGATTCTACAATGAAAAGTGAAGTGAGAGTAAGAATACCTTGACGTGCAAACAAAGGCCGACAAGATTCTCTAAATTTTGCTTTACACAGGTACCTAACGGCTCTTTTCTGTAGAGTGAAAATTACTTTAAAAAGTGTTTTTCTACATGGGATTCTATAAGGGCATAATAAGCTGACTTGGTAGCAGTATATCCCAAATTGTTGGAAATGATTCGCATGGCATAGCATCCCGAAGCCAACTTTTTACTAAGACTTGAGATGTGATTATCGAATTTCAATGTGGCATCAATCTGTAGTCCCAGAAATTTTGTATTCTCTTTACTCTCTATGGTATCATTGCCTAGTAGCAGTGCAGGCAGATTGCAACGGAGGCATAGTATATTTGTTTTAGAGATATTAAATGATAGTAAATTTGAATCAAACCATTCTTTAATGCAGTCAACATCTCTAGAAATGGTTTGAAATAGTTTAGCCTCATTCTTGTCATGCCATTGAATGGTAGTATCGTCGGCAAATAAAGTGAAACTACCTGATATATTCAAATTGGCCATGTCATTGATGTATAATAAGAAAAGCACAGGTCCAAGTACCGAACCTTGAGGTACACCACAGCTAATGGAATGAAGTTGCGAGTAATGGTTTGTTTTGACAATCTGATAACGATTTGATAGGTATGACTCAAACCATTTCAAAGTAGTACCTCTGAAGCCATATGCTTTCAGCTTTTGCAAGAGTATTCTGTGATTCACGCAGTCGAATGCCTTCGACAAATCACAAAACACTGCTGCTACAAATTCTTTCTTATTAATTTCTGAGTCATTAGAAAAACTTTATCTATAAAACGAGACCAATTGACCTGAACGATTTGGAAAGAAGAATTAGGATTGAATGTCAGATAAACATCTTGGAATGTGCAACAAAAATTTGCAAATAGACTCTACCACTGTCTAGGGTCAATGAAGCAGATTTTGAAAATTCGTTGTAGATACCTATTCAATAATTCATTCCATAAATTCATAGAACGTAGAAATATGTCTGATTATTATTCATCTATAAAATAATGAGGAATCATTTTAGTTCGTCTATGTTGTTATCTCTCATATCATTCCATGTACCGTCTAGACCCACGAGACTTAAAATGTTTTTGAATGTCAATTTTTGTCATACCAATTTGGGACTGCACTCGCCAATGAGTAGAATGAGTGATAATTTTAATAAATACTGCAGCAACGTAGATATACAATGTACATCATTGAATGAGTTCAGGGCACTCATCAGAAACCATATATTCGTGTGATTGATATGAATTCGGAATTTATTTTTGTTTTATTTTCAGGTACTAAATGTTTAATATTATTGTGATATTAACGTTGTGAAATGTAAGTATCAGAGTATTCTGCGTAACTAGTGTATACAGTTTTGAGCTTCTGCCTGTTTGTATCCCATTCTCATTAAATAAATAAATAAATAAATAAATAAATAAATTCATTTGAAGACCATTGAAAACATATCATCTGAACTCAAATATCTCGAAAACGCCTTGTTGGAATTCAAAAACTTTACACTGTCAATGTCACAAACATAGTACCAATGCAATGATGTATAACACAACCCTCATTTCTCATTCAAATTATCATGGGCGGCTCTGGAAAGTAAAGGGTAGAAATATGGAATATTCATTTTGCGTCAGATGGTGTCCTCCCCCAAATATAAATCGACGTGTTCCATAATTTTTGTATTCAATTTTTTTGAGGGATATCAAGGGTGAATAAACTTGAATGGACCACCCAGTATATCCCCATTATATAAGTAAGTGATACATAATGTTCCTCCTTTTGTTCCGGGAAATATAGAAGACATGTTTTTATTTTCTGGAGATTGGGCCGTATCCACAGCTATAGACGGAAGATCATCCAATGCAGAAGTCATCAAATTAGCATTATCTGTTTAAAACAACAGTGTAAGTTCGTCTGCACAATGTGGGTAGAAGTCATATCGGTAATCTACAAACTGAGAAACTGTAATTTTTGGGTTTTTCCTCAAATTATGGGAAGAGAAAATATCGATTACTCAAAAGAAGAACTGTCATTAATCATTTCCATGTTGATTTGTACGTCCACTTATTTTCAAATGAAACTCCTGCAATCATTTCCAAAGCATGGTCAAACTGAGCAAAAGTGTACTTACACGACTTTTCGGGAGTGTTTTGCCTGAAACAGTAAATTTCATCGTTATTGAAAAATAAAGATGATATTCACAGATGATCTTTGATTATATTTTCACGAAATTGGAAGAATTTCATTACTACGGTTATGAACCGTTTATTTATAAATGTTAACGGCATATCATTAATGACCCAGGCAACCAGATGACGAATGATCACGTCACTGTGACGTCCCTAATTGGTGATTTTTCGTCAGAGACGTCATACACCAATTTATGACGTCACTATGACGTAATTTCTATGAAGTTATAATCACGTCATCGTTTCGACGTCGAGTGAACGTCACTTATATGGGTAAAGGAAGACGCCAGTTTCATGACGTTGCAGGGACGTCCTGTCGACGT